AAGAAGGTAACCTGAGCAGGGAAGATGTGCACTCTGCACAGGCTGAAGATACTGTGAATCTAAGACAGATCATTACACATATCACAGCTTGTACCTGAAGGAAAGGGAAAACATGTTCAAAAGCAAGCAGATTCTCCTGGGATATATTCACAGGGTGAAGGGAGACTTAGTCTATAGGAAGCTCCTGCTAGGCCAGGCTGAGGCCCAGAAGTGTAAGACCTTGGAAGCCTATGAGTGGGTGAAGAGCCATTCTGGCCAAAAAGGCAGAGATCATCAAGGCTGTCTGAGAAGGAAGAGGTCAAGAACTAAAGGTCCCCTTCTCATGTCTGAACAGAGTGGCCTCAGTGATTACATAAACCAATCATTGAACTAAAACAAGACTTTATCTACGTAAAACAAAGAAAACAACAAAAGGAGTTTTTGCCTAGAACCACTGATGTTCCTGTTGAGGGTGCAAGTCAGAGTCAGGGTCAAGGGTCTATAGGACCTAGAGGCCCCGTGGAATTGGGAGAGTTGGTGGCTAGGAGAGAAAATAGACTCTATATGAAAAGAATATTTTTATCCTGAAGTATTAAGTGATATTTACACTAAGAAATGAAAGTCAAGGATGAAAGAAGAAATGGAAGTCAGTGACCTAATGAGGAGAGAGTAGGTTGGCATGAGATTGAGGGAAAACTTCCTCAAATAAGAACTTGAGGAGTGGGATATCATGGTGCATACCGGTAATCCCACAGTCTGGGAGGCTGTGGCAAAAGGATCACAAGCTCCAGCCCAGGCAATTTAGTAAATTAGTGGGACTATCTCAAAATAAAGATATTTTTTAAAGTCTGAAGTTGTAGCTCACTGCAAAAGCCCTGGGTTCAAACCCTAGTAGCACTAAAAATAAAGTTGATGGCCCTGGAAGGGGAGCCTGCCATGAAGCATCATTATATATAGGCTATAATACCCAGTGTATAAAATACCCAGTGTGGGTACGGGGGTATGCGACAGAGTAGGAAGCAACTTTGCTTACAGGCTAACCCTACAAATCTAACCTTAAAAGGGTGGGGAAAAGAGAAAATTGAATATTCTTAAACATTCAGTAGTGTGATTTTGACTTGTGTTTGTAATTGATGATGAGACCCTTAAAAGGAAACTACACATTTTGATCATTTGAACTCCTGTAGGATCGCTGGAGATGAATCAGGTTGTGTGGGAAAGCCAGTGCCTCCTAAGCAATCTAATTCTGGGACGATGCTGGAATATGCTCCTGGTCACACAAAAACAGGGATGGATAGTCGGGTTTTGTCACAAGAGTGTGAACTCTGGGGCCAGTTAAGCTTGCACAGGAGTCCTTGCTCCAACATCTACTAACCATGTGACCTTGATAAAGTTGGTTAACTTTTCTGTTCTATGATCTCTTCCTCAGTAAAACAGGAGAATAATAATACACACAGCTCATAGGATGGTTGTGGGAATTAAAAGAGGTAATGTATACTTAATTTAAGCACTTAAAGAAGGCCACTTGGAGAGTATTATATTTTGTGAAGATTACTACTTTTTGATTTGACTATCCCTAACTGCAAAGGAGGCTGGAACTGTGATATATGGCACAGGAGAATGGAATTAGAGCAAGTAATTCAGACCAATCACAATCATCTCCTGGGGTTTCACAGGACTGATTCTGTGGGAACAGGGACTTTCCACTTGACATCTATTTAAAACACAGTATGTGTCAGCAAGGAAGAAAAGAGTGGGTGGAAATGGCTGTAAGAGAAGTTGCAGATTCTGCCACATACCTTGAAGAGTCTACCACATTCCTGGATTTGCAGGTGTCGCCCAGAAAGGCTATGAGGCCTCCCCAGGTCCTTGATGGCTAACTGTAGAAAAACCCAGGGCTCTTGTTTCAGTATTATTTTTTGGCTCAAAAATAATTTGACAGCTATTGTCTTAGTCTGCTTTATGTTGCTGTAAGAGAATCCCTGAGACTGGGTAATCTATAAAGGAAAGAGGTTTATTTGGCTCATAGTTCTAGAGGCTGAAAAGTTCAAGATTGAACAAAAAGTTTAAGATTGAAATCACTATAATTCCCCCTATAGTGATATAAGGGAAGTAAATATAAATTCTTAACCTGTTAGATGTCAGATATGCCAAGTTTGTATTTCCCAAAATGAAAGAATGAATTTTAAGCAACAACAGAAGTTAAGAGTAGGAAAAAATTATTGAGAGAGATAGCTGAGAGACAGGAGGAGACCCAAAAGTGTGTTACCAACAAGCCCACTTCTCAAAGGAGGTTTTATAGAGCAAAATCACATGGGGGGTACAGAATCACAAGTGTTACGTGAGTCAAAACTATGATCAACTAATGTTACAAGTATAGCCATTTAGATAATATTGATCCAATGGGGGAGCAGGTCACATAGCAAGTGTACATAGAAAGAACAAAGAAAGACCTTTATAGGAAGAGATGGATTAGAAGGTCCAAGGGATGGATTAGAAGGTCCTGATCACCCATGGAGTGACATATGTCTATCTAGATTTTATTGGACCAGGTGATACCATTTATCCCATGGGGAGGTACGTAGTCCTGGTCATTTTGTCTTTATCTTGAGGCCTGCCCTCCAACAGAGGTACCTTTAGCCACAGTTGAAATGTGTTCTCATCCTCTGCACTGATTCCCTCAAGGGCCTAGCCCTATCTGACTCCCTATAATATTTTTACCTAACTTAGCTGTCTATAAGTAGGATTTCATGCTGCTTCAACTCATTGCAGAACGCAGAAGTAGACATAGCAGAAGAGAAACAGGGCTGGACTCTGTAACAGCTAATCCATTCCCACAAGAAAGAAATTAATCCATTCACAAAGACTCTGCCCCCATGGATCAGACATCTGCCCTAGGGTCCTACTTCCTAACACTGCAGCAATGGCAATTAGATTTCACCCTAAGTACTAGAGGGGACAAACCATATTTAAACTGTAGCAACTGTCTCTATGTTTCTTTACTATCATGGCCTGGTGCAAAGTTTTCATATACAAAATTGATAGACTTTATACATTCTAAAGAATAAAATATACCTATTGCATGTTCACAGATCAGCAATTAAAGTGTCATGCTAGGTGATAGAATGTGTGTTGCATAAACTACTTGCTCATGATTCTCAGTGGTCATGATTCTCACTCACCCACAGTGTTCCATTTGGTTCATTCAACTATATAACTTTGAAAAATTTTAAGAAGACATAACATTTTCATTTTCTAGTACAGGTATATGGCTCCTGGTTTTAGAGTTTGAATGGAAATGAGTTAGCTATTTGTTGCAAAGGACTTGTTCCATTTTGAACTAACCTAAATATCTACTATTAAAAGGTTAAATTATGATTCCATTATGAAATACCATGCAGAAATTAATCTCATAAGTTTAAAGACTGTGTGGCAACCAGGAAGTGTTTGAGTTGTAATTAGTGTTGAATGAACAAAACAGGATAGCAGACACTCTGTGTCCACCCATGTTACTTAGGGTTTTCAGTGTGTTCCAGCCAAGTTCCAGCTTATCCAACCCCCCAACCTCTGATACAAACACAGCTGAGGAATTAGCTCCTCCTTCCCTGTCCCTAGCACCCCTCATTGACTGTGGAGAGTTGATATATATATACCCTATCTCTATCACTCCCAGAGTAGGATAACTTTGAGGTGCAGGTTTCCCACCATGTCTCCCTTTTCCTTAGGGATTAAGCTTCTATTATTTAATAATAGAGAACTCTTCAATAGTTGCCTTCCCCTCCCTGTTTTGCTTCCCTAGAACCCTAATAGTGTTATCCACATTTTCTTAATAAACCACCTTCTTATAAATTCTTTTCTCAGAATTTATTTTTTTTGCCTGCTTCTGGGAAAACTCAAGCTAATTCCTGCTGAATAGGGAATGTAGACATATATGCACATAGGCTAAGCTAAGAAGGAATACACAGCAATGGTGGGAGTTGAATAAGAATGGTGAGAATACATAAGACTTTTCTATTCTATTTCCCAGTCTTCCAGTAAAGTTGTTATATAGTTTCAAAATATTTTTTTTACATTTAAAAAAATTATTGGTACATATTTGTTGTACATTATGATTACATTCATCATGGGGAGTTGGTACATGTACATGACATTTCTTAATTCTTTTAACCCCTTCCCCCTCCCTCCCTTGGACATTTTTAAATAATAAAAAGCTGTGCACTCCAAATCCACATTCACAGAAAGCTAGGAACAGAAGTGAGAAACAGCTTTTGGAGAAATGGACTGCCCCACAATGGTTTATCACAGGAAGAAAGGGGTTCAAAGGTGCCTATTGTTTAAAAGCATAAACTGTATAAATGCAAATAGACGATTCATTCATTCCTATTTTTTAAATGAATTCCAAATACCTAAACATTTTCTTTGGAAAATTCCTTTACACATAAATAAAATTATTTCTGTTTTTAAATTGGGATTTATAGCTTATATGATCAGAGGTTGTTTTGTTTTGCTGATTTATTAACCACATAAAGCTTATTTTTAATCTTTAGAGGTGAGTTTAATTATCTTGTTTCTAGGAACAGTATAGCAGACTGCAGAAGCTAACATATCACTTCATTGTCCCATCATTTCCCCCTTAGAACTTTTGGCCAAAAAGAAAATACACACATGTACACACACACCCTCCCATGCACACACTTGTGCCTCTGCACACATGCACACAAAGTTAATTCCATTGCAAATGGAATTTAGGCACAGAAGAGCAGAAAAGGTTTAAGGTATAAAACTGAACTATTTGAGCATATGATCTCAGAGATAAAGTATTACACCCACAATGTTACTTTTTGAAATGGAAAGGAGTGGATAGTTACTGCATCCAAAAGGATGTGATTTTACTTGAAATGCTAATTAACTCAACTTACAAGTTTTTCTTCTTCATTAAGCAAAGAGTGGGTGGAGTAACTTTCTACCAGTAAAATGAGGAAGAAAAATGTGCTCCTCACTTCTATCATGTCTTCCTCAGAAGAAGATTGATAGAAACTGTGCAATACAATGTGAAAGAACCCATATTTTAGATTTGATCTGGGCTCAAATCCTTGTTCTACCACTTATTAGCTAGGAGATCTTGAGTGAGTTACTTAACTTCTATTTCATGTTCTTCCTCTGTAAAATGAATGGTATACTCAAGAGGAACAGCAATTCATAATATCAAAAGATGGAAAGCAGTCAAGATGTTCATCAACAGACTGTTGGGAAAAATTACCCAGCAGAGAAAATGAATGAACTGCAGCTACAAATGACAACATGGAGGAATCTAAGGAATATTAAACAAGGTAAATAAATAAGTGAAGTTCAAAATAAAAGTAAACAATAAGTATTTAGATGTATGAGAGAAAAAGAATTATAGAATTCTGGCAGCAGTTGCATGTGGGAGAACAGAAGAATGTGATGGGAGGGATGCATGGGTGGATGAAGGTCATTGTTATGTTAGATAGTCATTCATTTGGGGCTGTTTTTGATGGACGTAGGCACAATAATATGATTATTCCACAGTGGAAGCCTCCGAGGATCTCCATTACCCCTCTTCTCTGCCCATCACTACTTCCACCCCTAAAAAGCCCACAAGGAGCAAATATGACGGGTGAATTGGGTCCACAGACTTGAAAATATCACGTCATAGTGTAAGAAAAGCTATATACTGGGTACATGACAGGTGTGATCAGCATAATCAGCCCCAAATTATTCTACCCAAACAAATTTTTAAAGATGTTTGGCTGTAATCCCTTAGACTAGTTTCATTCCATTAATGCCCCTTTAAACATTATAGGTGATTACCTAAAGTCTTTATAAAGAGGTAGTTGCTTTCATTTATCACTCAAAATAAATGTACTTCTAATAGGCTTATGAGGTTACTCATAATAAGCTTTTAAAAATTACATATCTCTGCTTCTGTGCTTCATGTGGTAAGTCTGGGAGGAGGGGATGAAGCAGTAGCATATGAAAGGTGAATCCCTAACCACCATGGGATAATGATCATGACTTCTTAATCTTAATTCAACAAGAAAACAGTAATCTATTCTCAGCTTGGGAGCTGGAGAGTTTGGCCAGGGCAGTACCCTCAAATCCTGTTGAGCTTGCTTCTTTTCTGTTACTGTGAAAAAGTGTTAGATAATGGTACAAATAGGTAGCCACTTTTTGTAAGCACTCTTTGTATAAAAGGCAAAGGAAATGTTTGTTTAATGAAAAATGATTGCACTTTTAATTTTCTGACTCCAGAAATATCCAACAAGGGCCCTGTTACTCCCTGGCTGTCGGGGTTGGAATCTCACATCCACCTCCAGGTCACCCACACTTGGGGCCTGCAAAGGAGAAGAAGCTGCCTTTGCCATCAGCCCCACTCTGTCCCTTTTTGATTTTGATATTTAAAATAAGAAGGATTCTCCCTAGTCTATCCATCCCCAATATTATCCCACTTTCCCACTTCTAACATACACACAGGGCACTGTCAGAGTTGGAAACCCTTTCATTTAAACTCATGCTGTCATAACTTGCTTTATTGTTTCTTGTTCTCAGTTCCTTATTTTCTTCTGCCTGCAGAAGCCAAGCTGGCAGTGTAGGGTGGTGGGCAGTGTGGTGGGAGTAAGGCCTTGTCACTTAAGTGAAAAGGGCCCACCTAGGTCACCTCTAAAGCCCCTGCCAAAGGGCCCAATTCACAAGCCATACATGTCTGAGGCTGCTGGCTGGGTGCCTCATTTGTACAGAGGAGAGGAATTCCACCGACTCAGCAACGAAAGCCACTCAGCTCACAGGCCCTGTTTCCTCTCAGGGTAGAAGCTAGAGTCTCACCAGTATGACTGACTCAGCTTCGCTTCCAGCTTCAACTCTTGCTGTAGAAGAATCACTCCGTTTTTTTTTTCCTTTTTCCAGTGGGACCTTGGTGGAGGGAAGCCTCTTTAATATTTTGCTGTACCTGTGGCGGGTATGAGGGAGGTTACATCTATTCTGTAGCTGTCAATGGCCTCCCATGAGCTGGGACCTGTTCCTTGGGTCCAGAATGAAGCCCTAGGGCTCTGTGGATGGCAAGATTTCCCCTGGTTGCAATGTCCTGCATCGTGAGCTGGCAGAGGCGCTGGCAAATTCAGGAATGCTCCCTCGGCACCTTGTCCAAGCGTGGGGCTTCACTATGGCACTAAGAGCCTTTTCTCATGCTTAGGTGCATCCTCCAAACATATCTGAGTTCTCTAGCAGATCTTGCTTTGCTAAAATATGCTGCACCTTTGTCAGCATCTGGGCCTCACGCCTCATTCTCTCCAGTCCTCCTCTTCCCCATCACTGGCTCCATTCAATTCATCTGGTCTAAAAAACAGCTTTTATGTAACCTTGAATCCTCTCCCACCTAATTTGTTTAGGGTATAATTTGTTTACAGCATAATACAGCCATGAGGGTGAGGAAGCCATTTGAAAATGTGAAGAACAGGGTAGTTCATTCTCGAAGGAACTTACGAAAACTTTTAATTAACGCATAATTGTATGTATTCATGAGGTAGTGATTTTGACACATAAATACACTGTGCAAAGATCAAATCTAGATAGTTAACATATCTATTATCTCAAAAGATAAAGATTAACAGGTAGTGTACAAACACTTATGAAGAAAGAGGTAGACTATATTGATATCTGCAAGCTGAAGGATTACAAAGGAGACAATGAGTGGAATTAATCTGGGTTGGGAGAAGAGAGTAGGGATTCATTTGGGCATTGGAAGAGAAAGGTTTCCTGGGCCTTAGAGGTGGTTCATGGGTTGCTGGAAGTTGAGTGTAAAATTCAGTGGACTGGGCCCACTGAATGCAGAGAGAGACAGAAAATACTGCCCAGAGCCAAGCTGCTGAGGAAGGGTGTAGGCAAAGCTGAAAGCTGTGGATAACCAGCTGGAAAAATCTTGAATACTTAGGGTTGACTATGATTAGGGAGCTGCCTGGCATAGTAGATTAACGTGGTCAACCAGGGGAAATGGTTACAGATAGTTCAAGGCCATTCCCTCCACTGTGAGGGACAGGGGCGATATGAAGAATGATATTGCAGCTGGTCAGATGGGATTCTGGGGAAAAGGAAGGATGGGCAGATGGAGACATGTGTGGAGAAGGCGGTTGCTGTCCTTGGCAGCTGATGGCATGTGATGAAAACCGGAGAGGCAGCACAGATTACCCAGGCTTCAGACTTGAGGAAGTGGCAGGACACATCTCAGCTCAGCCCAAGACAGGGAAGTTGAGCAACAGAGAAGATTGGGTGAGGGAAGGGTGGGGAGTGTGAGGTCTCAGGGCTACTTAGCCTCAGTGGGCGATATCCTGGAGCCCTTGGTACGTGACTTGCATTAGAGGGAAGTCCAGGGTGTAAATAGGGGTAGGAGGGTGGTGGGAGGCAATCACACACCAAGCGAGGTCAGTGGAAAAGCAAGGAGTAGATCTCCATTCATCCAAGGGGAAAAAAAAGAAAAAAAAATTCCACACAGAAATATATGTCAGTGAATGACCTTGTCAGCCCTCAGACCCTCCATCTCCGAGCTTAGAATATTAAGGACAGAGCCAGGACACCACTATCTCATTTCAGTTTCACTTTATGTATAATGTGACATTTGCATACCTTTGATTTAAAGCATTGACAAAGTAGCAAGGTTTACTCACATGAAAAGAGCATGAAATCTGGAGACTCACAAACTTGAATTAAAATCCTAGATTTAAAAAGTAAAAGTGATGTATCCATACAATGGGAATATTATTCAGCCTTTTAAAAGGAATTCTGACCCATGCTACAACATGAATGAACCTTGAGGACATTATGCAGGTGAAATGTCACAGAGGGATAAACACTGTGTAATTCCATTTGTCTGAGGCACCTAGAGCAGTCAAAATTACAGAGATAGGAAGTAAAATAGTTTTGGCTGGAGCTGGGGGAAGGGGAATGAAGATATTTAATGGGAACACACTTTTAATTGGGGATGATGAGAAAGTTCTGGGGATTGTTGCACCAGCATGAGTACATAGCTAACATTACTGTACTATGTAAGTACTTAAAAATGCTTCAGATGGTACATTTTGAGTTATGTGTTTTTTTCCTGAAATTTTTTTAAAACTAAGATCTGGTCCTAGTGACTTATGGACTTGACCTTGTATATGTCAACCAATTCTTAGAGTCTTAGTTTCCTCATCAGTAAAATGGAAAGAGGATACATGCTCATAGAGAGCATGGATACATGCTCATTTAATCTGAGGATTAAATGAAAGCATATACGTATGTGAAGCTCCAAACATACTACTGAGCACATAGAAATTATTCATATTTTAGTTAAATTAAATCCACTAAATTTGGTTCTCATATCATCAGATTTGAATGACTTTCATTTGAGGACTTAGACCAGTGATGGCAAGCTTCTAGCATGCGTGCCACAGTGAGCTATTTGTTAGCACTGAAATCTCTGAAAATTTTGCCATTACTGACCTAAACTTATTTGGGCCTTTAGCAGCATATCTTAGTGCAGCCCATATAATATTGAGGATGAAATGGTTCAGAGTAATACCTCTGAGCTGCTACACTCAAAGAATGTGTGATAGAGATATGCTAGAAGTACCCCCAGCATTCCTGCTTTTGTCTGGAGGGTCCCAAATAAAGAAGTTTATCTTATCAAAAGAAGCTGAATATAGTCTCTTCTGACTAAATAAATTAGGAAGAAGTCAATTACTACTGGCTAGAACACTGGGTCCTTAGACTCACTTGGAAAGTCTCAAAAACATAGAGAAGCCTTTTGTAAAAAGCAGATGTTAGAGCAATGAGAATTTTGGTGAGTCTCTGGAAAAAAGGGACATTCCTTAGGAATATGATTGCTAAATAGTTGGTGCTTAAAGTGAAACTGGAACAGGTCCCAAAGTAGAGATAGAGCACTTACTGCAAATATATGAGAAGATCAAAGCAAAATATGCTCGGAGAATCACTGGAACTTGGAGACCCAAGATATAGAGGAATTCCGATCAGACAGAACAGAGAACATTCTCTTAACCACTTCCTTGGCTAAGAATTTTTCTTATTCCATAGTGAGAAGAATTTAGCAGTTTAGGCCAGAGTGCTTTTTTATGTCAGGTACAGTTTGTTGCATAAAACCATAGTTAACTGGAAGTAACTGGATTGGTTTTATTTCATAGCATGGTTCAAACACTCTCAATGCTTCCTTTGTTATCTTCAGAAAGGACAAGCTCCAGCTATTATTATAGCAAGATACCTGCACAGGGTGGACCCATTCTGACTAGTGCAGTTCAAATCTCGGTGCCCAGTTTCCAGGTAAGCAGCAACCCTCATACAATGTTGTCTGGGTGTGCGGCATGTGTAACAATAGTGCACCACACCCAGAAAGACAATATGCCAAAATATGAAAATATCCTACTCAGCCACTGTGTCACGTAGAACACGCATGGCCTGGCACAAGCCAGTCCCTCTTTAGATGTCAGAGCCCTTGCCACGGTCAGTCACAGGCTGACTTGATCTTGTCATGTTGCTTTCAACGTTTTTGGGCTGTCTTCCCAGGGTATTCCATAGTCCTTCCCTGCCTTGGGTGACACCATGGCAGTGGGGATGGAGTAAGAGGCTTTGGCATAAGGCAAAGTAGAGTTGAAATCCCATCTCTACTCCCTCTAATGGCTATGCAAGCTGATCATATTACTCAATCTTTCTGAGCCTCCGAAGACCCAAGAAGCTACCCCAGGTTAAAGGAGAGAAGAGATGACATAGATAGTCAACAACACTGCCTGGTCCATTATGAGCCACTCCCTAAATGCCAGTTACTCCTCTTACTTCTTCTAACCTCATTTTCCCTAATCCAGATTCTTGCTTCATTCATTTTAATGCCAGGAACTTGCTCTTAGGCCCTGACCTCTTTCTCTGATGACCTCTCTTGTCTGACACTCCAATTCTCACACGTTTGCAGATCCTCCGATAAATGCCTCACGTGCTTGAAAAACTTCATCTTCCCTTATACTTTCTCCCCTCACCCACTATTTTGCCCCTTTTGAAAGAAAACAGACTGGCTCCTTAATTTTATGCTTGTTCCAAATGACTTAAAAGTAGATAGGTGGATTGTTGATATTTCAGTCTTGTCAGGACGTGGATCTTTTTCATTGTATTTTTTAGAGCTGATATATCTGGTCTATAGGGCGGGCAGAATCGTTTGTGTTCCCATCTCTGTGGTCTGTGTGAGGGGAAAGGCACGTGTGTTTGCTTGAACGTGTCTGTTTGTCAGTCTTCAATGCCAGTCCCCCTTTTTAATCTGGGCCCGGCATGCTATTTGTTGTCAGCGGCCCAGCAGGACAGTTCAGCCCCTACGTGCACTGTGTCCAGCTGCCCCTTCCACCTCTGCATCCTGCTTGGGAACTTTCTCCTATGTAGACTCTGCTAATTAACTCGACCTGAACCCTGGTTTCCACAGCTACGTGTTCAAATGAAGGAGCTGTGGGGACGGCAAGGATCTCTCTGCTTCCTGCCCAAGGAAGATCAGTCTCTCCTTCACCCTTTAACTGCAGTCAACTTCCTCTGGGAAGCGGGCGTTCCTTAGAATATGTCAGAAGTCACGGTTAAATATTGGATTTTTTTTTCCTTCTACTTGAGAAGTTGAAGCATTTTAAGACATGTTGAAAAACAGGCGCTTTCCCCCACGTAATTATGTCTGGCTCGCAGCTTTTCCTAACTTAAAACGGTCCTGTGGTTGGCAGTGGTTTCCCCTCATCAATATGCCTGAGGCTCATGCAGCCTGCAAAGCTTGTATGTCCTCTCTTATGATAAAAACCAAAGCATGTCACTTGTTTTGACCGAGGTCTGCCCTGACATTTACAATCACAGGGTGGGCCGTTGGTTCCCTGCTGTCAGTTCTGGGGAGGGATGAGGGGAGGAGGAGGATTTCAGAACGAGGCTGGGTAAGACCCAGAGCTGCACGGAGCTTTCGGAGGCACTGCGGGACTGGACGCCCCTGTGCTTTCTCCACGAACATCTCTCACACATATGGTTGCTGCTTTTGTTTGGGCTAATTTTGATTTTTTTTTAATGCCCTCATGGTTGAAAGAAAACACAATTTTAAAAAAACAACCTAATCTCCGATGTGACTTCGTGGGAAATAAAGAACCTCATAAGAGCTCAGAGTCAGAGCTGTGCTGGCAAAAAGGATGGAGATTTTGGGTTAGGAATCCTCTGCCCTGTGTTTAATGGTCAACTGAGTATTGTGTGAGTTGGACTTTGGTTCTTCATCCAGAAGAATGTGAATTACTGTAGTTTGGCGACTAGATTAAAAGATAAATGTAAAAGCTATTTCAGTGAAAAGGACTGTGTATATCATTATTAATATCGTATAGGTAATCCTTCTGTGATGATATCTGATCCCCACAAAACCGCTGAGGTGGGTGCTCTTATCCCTGCTTAACTGAAAGGGGTCAAAGGTCAGGGAAGTGCCGCCACCCACAGGTGTGCTGCTTCCTCAGCCAGACGCTAGAAACTTTGCCCTTAACCAGCATCTTATTGGTGGTGGTTACCTCTGTATTAACTTTTATAAATTATAAATTGCAAAACAATTTCTGTTCATTGTGAAAAAAGCCCACGCAACAATAGGCCCATCCCCACCAAAAGGGGTGGGCAGTTTGAGAAGCATCCCTTCAGGCTTTCCTATGCATGCACCCTGAGGACTGTTTGTTTAAACCAAAGTTAGATCACATGGTACTCTGGCCATTATTCTGCACTGACAGTTACATCTTTATTTTTAGCTGAAGGAGGTGTGGGATGCTAAGTGCAGCTCTAGGCCTCAGAGCCCTGCTCAGCTCTAGCCCTCCAGTCCTTGGCTGTGTGTCTTTGGGCAAATTACTAATGACTGAATCTCATCTTTAAAGTAGGTCCCATTCTATTTACTTGCCAAGGTTCTGGAAGATTAGAAGTAACAAATGTAAAATGCCCAGTATACACTAAATAGTGAAAAGTGTTATAATGTCTGGTAAACTTTATTTATTTATTTATTTATTTATTTATTTATTTATGGGTACCGGGGATCGAACTAGGGTCCTTGTACTTGCAAGGCAGGTGGTGTAACCACTAAGCTAAATCCCCGGCCCCTAGTGAACTATTTAAATTTCAGTGTATTCTTTGTTTTTGAACTGTAAAAATATTAAATTTTTCACTTCCCCACCAGGGCTGTAGCTCAGCAGCACAGCACTTATCCGGCAAGCACAAGGCCCTAAGTTCAATTCCTGGGAGCAAAAAAGAAAAAAGAAAGAAAATTTGTTTCTCTTCACTTGAAGAAAATGGATTGTAGTGAATAAGGACGTTCATGGATACTGTGATCAGATAAATCCTCAATGAAGTTCATTCCTGTTTTCTTTTTAAGTCAGTAGTTTCCAACTTTGCATGTACATTAAAGTGATTTGGGAAGCTTATAAAAAAAACCCCAAACCCAGCCACATTGCAGGGCAATTACTTTTGGGAGATAGCATCATTTTTTTTTAAAGTTTTACCTTATTTTTAATTTATACACAATACTTATACACTTATCCAGTACAGTCTAATGTTTCCATAAGTGTGTGCTTTAAAATTTTATTTTTAATTCATATGTATTAATTATGCACATCAATCCCTGGCAAATCTCCCCACATGATCTTAATATTCTGACAAGCTGGAAAATCACTACTTTATATGAGATTCTCCATGCTTTTGAGAAATAAAAAATATAAGCAAGAATGGAATATATTTTATTTGCTGAATGTGTTTGAATTAATAAGAGTTTATTACCTGTTCCTTTTTGATATAGTATAATTAATATTTAAAACATATGTATAATGAGAGCAGGTAAATAAAAATAAATCACATGATGAGTCCGATAAATTATGAAGTACAAAATTTTTCATCACAAAAGTTTATTTCATTATAAATATACTTAGGAAAATTTAAAGAAGAAAACAATTCACTCACAATCCTACTACCTTAATTTATGCGTATACTGATATATTTATACTTTTACATATAAAGTTTTGCTAGTGTGCTAGCATTGTTGTATTCCTGTTTTTCTATAAATATACCTTAAAATAATTGCATACCCTTCTTATTAGGGAATAAATTGTGCTATAGAGAAATTGGCTTCAGGCTCAGATCTCAGCAGCCAGAGGAACTTGCTGCTTCCTGGCTAAGTAAATTTGTATTCCTTGTTATTTTGATACATTCATTTAGATTGGATAATTCAAGAGAATGTTTCTATGAGAACAGGGATTGGCTATGATCAAAAGTGAAAGAAAGATAATATTTCCACATGTACCTGTGAAGGTGAATTATAGTAATGTGCCCTCCCTCGCTAGTGTAAGTCACACTTAAAACTGTCTTTATAGAACCTCTGGGAAAATGAACAAGCAACAGGCCACAGAGGCTGCTTGCAGAGAGGACACAAGTGGGTGGGGACAGGATTTACCTATGCCCTTCCCTTCCATATGCACATGCAATTTCTTCAAAAAGAAAAAAACAGCAGTTAAAAACAATCTGTTCATAGTTTAAAGCAATCTATTATTTAATGCTAAGAACTACCCTGTTCAGTCACTTCTCCAGAACAGGAGCTGTGTTTATACATATTTTCTCATTTGCCTTATTTATACATTTACTTGTAATGATAATTGTGCAAATAAATAGATAGTTCTTGCCTTCTGGAAGCTGACTGATATATCAGCCCACAGGCATGTGAGGGAACCAAGAATAAGCAGCAATTTGCTTGATGCCAGACACAAGGCAGGTATATTTGAGGGAACACATGGTGGGAAGGACATTCTTAGGCCACTGTCTGAGGGGAATCACTGTTCTTACACAGGGATTCCAGGGAAGGAAGAGAGATTAAAGATAATTTTCGAGGGCTGAGGAGACAGACACCCATGCCAGTATGGAAGAGGAAAGATGGTCCAGACACAGTTTGGGAGGGAATTTAGCTAGAGCAATACCATGGCTGACAGTGACTCATTTACATGGGGTTCCATAACAGACAACCTTAGAAGGGTTTTCTTGCCCTGTCTCTCTGGAAGAGTCGACCTTGTGGGACCTTTAGGATGAGGTTTGGAACCATGACACATGTGCCTCCCATCCCAGTGGATGCATGCCAGCTGGTGCCTTTGGTTAACTCCAGGAGGGCAGAGCCTCTGCCCTACATTGCATGACCTGGGAAAATGGTACATTTATACCTATCATCCTAACGATGAAAGGAAAAAAGACAGGAAGATGTCATTGGAAAGTAGGCGGGGCCTCTTCAGGCAGGCCAGGGCTACTAGGTGAAGGGCTTGAGACAAAAGGAAAAATGGTCCCTCATTAGAAGGAAGGAAGTTTGTGATGATGAACTCTTGGTAAGAAAAGGGCTAGAACACCTGGCAGTAGAACTCCTCTGTTGAAGCCATCTGCCTAGCACATACTGATCAGTCGTAATAACAATGACCAAAAACTACACATGATGAAAACAAATCTTTGATACAAGATCCATTATTTCTCCCAATGAGTCCTGACCCATCTTCTGTACAAGTTAGTGTGTATCAGTATCCTATGAAAAGTTAAATCGCCTTCTATGAAGCTGAAGGAAATGATCTTGTCAAATTACAGCTTTAAACATGTAATGTTAGACACAATACAAGTGTTTCTGGAAGGCCTACAAGGTGCTAGATGATCTAGAAAAAGATTCTTGAGGTAACTACATTTACCTAGACCCTTTTCCCCACGTCCTCATACCCTTATCCAGCCCTAATCTGTCACCCTGACTGTGCGATTCCTCTCATGGAAGCTGCCCACTTTCTCTCTTGACAATGTATTCTGACCTGAATAAACTCTTGTCTTTAACTTTACTTTTGTCTTGCTAAATTCTTTTATCACCTGTGACTGTTCATGTGCTATCTGGTGTGGTAAAGATTTAGAATAAAATCCATATGCCCCAAATAACCCACCAGTGACTATCTCTGGTTGGGTTCTCACATGAACATTTCCATGTGATTGTTAGCAGCATGAAGAATGAAGGAGGGCAGCCACCCTTACTCACTACAAATCTTGTCATCTTTCATCAAATGTGCTTTCTAAAGGATTCTTGCCATTTAGCTACAAGTAAGTCCCATCGGGCTTGCCTCTTATTTATTTCCTTCACTTATTGTTACTTGCAGATACTTTATAACTTTGTTTCTCTGGATTTTTTTTCTCCTTTAACCCCACTGGACAGTGAGCTCTGTGAGTATGAGAAAAGATTATACAGCTGGGTTAATCACTGTCTTGAATACACAGTGCTAGGCACATAAGAAGAATGTAATGCTTATGTGCTGAATTAAAGAATAAATGAAAGAAAAGTAAAGAACAAATCAATAAATGAATAAATGGAATTAATATCCCTTGCCTGAAATGCCTAGGACCAAAAGTATTTCAGAGTTTGGTTTTTTTTTTTAATTTAGAATATTCACATATACATAATGAGATACCCTAGGGATATCTTCAAGTATAAACAAACATAGAATTCATGTATACCTCATATACACCTCACGAACAGAGCCTAAAATAATTATATACATTTTAAATGACTTTTTAAAGCTTTTATTAATTTTTGCTTGAAAATGTGTTTATTGAACCGTCAAACTGTGGCATGCTGAAACTCACAAAATTTTAAATTTTGCAGCACTTTGGATGTTGGATTTTCAGATAAGCTCAACTTGTACTGATATTCTACTGTTTCACTCTATTTCCAGCCTCTCCTTGTGGCTTCTAATCTTAGTACTTAGGATCACTACATGATTGTTATATATCTACTAAAAGAATATGAACTCAGCAGGAAAGACACCAAGAGCAGAAAGCTATTCCCTCCAGCCCTGCATGATCTGGTCCCTCCAGCCTCCTATCTGTCCCTTTATGACATCTAACCAAGCCAAAGGCCTTTCAGATCCAAGGGCATCATGCTCTTCCAAGTCTTTGCATGTCTTCCTCCTGTGCCTGTCACTGTCCCTGTGTTTGGCCCCCACATCTGTATTAAGCACCTTTCACATAAGTCCTGTAATACTTTATCTCTGATGATTATTCTTAGCTCATTGGACCACAGTTGCATACTTCACTATTCATTAATTTAACAAATATGCATTAAGCACCCATGATGTCTTAGGTCCTGGGGATATGGCAGTAAACAATATAGATCAAATCCCTGCCTTTTGGAGCTTACATTTTAGTGGAGAGAGGTAGGCAGTTAACAGAGATCCACCTCTCTGTGCTTCACATTAATAAGAGAAATGAAAGGGGAAGACAGATAGAAAAGAATGGAGGTATGAAGGCAATCTCTGATTCAGTAGTCAGGAAAGACATCCTGGTAAGGGAACATTTATTTAATCAGAGACTTGAAGGAATCAAGAGAACAAATTATGAAGCTCTCATAAGGTGCTGGACTATTCAGGAGGCATGGAAGAAGCTGGTGTGGCTAGAGCAGGAAAATCTCATCATCCTTTAATTCAGTCAGTAACCTTCCTAAGTTCATGTCTAATGTTTCATTATATGTTTTAAATGGATCAGCTTCACATGACTGTTATGGAGACTAAGAGATAGTATCTCCATTTACATCTAGGGAGGTCAAGTATCTTGTCCAAGATCACACAACTAATTTCAGAGACAAGCAATGAGTCAAGGTAGCATGATTTTGAATCATTCACTTGTGAACTCCTATTTAAGCTAATCTTAGCCCCTTCGCGCCCCCCCCAAGCATGTGTGTCCACTGAGCTACATCCTCCACCATTTATTATTTAGTTAGTTAGTTATTCAGTTATTGTTTTAACGCCTCACTAAGCTTCCCCACCTATCCCATAGTAGTGGGGTGATCTTATTATTGAGGTATAGGCATGGAGGTGAATGAAGGTACAGAGAAGGTATTCAGGTTTAAGTTTTGGCCCCAATTCAGTAAATTTTCAAATAAAATGAGAGCAACCAACCCATATTTTTCTCTGGATTGGGATAAAGTCTATAGAAATGTCTGCAAGAACCAACTACTGTAAATAGGAAGACTTTGTCAGAGAATCCCTGACCTGTGAACATTAAAACTGACTGAAGAAAGTATATCTCACAGGAGGGAGCCTGGTAACAAAAGGCAGTTGTGTCTAACAAGGAAACACCCAGAACTTTTCATGGAAAATGGTGGCACAGTTCTGGAAAAACCCTGTCATATTCTCTTTCCAAAACACAGATGAGGCAAGAT